CACACACACACACACACACACACACACACACACACACACACACACACAGACAGACATGCACACAGACATGCACACCCTGGCATAGTTCCTGCAGTGGCCTCACTGTAGCACTATAAGATATTTGATTTTGCAGATTGTACGGCTGTGGGAGGTTCATGGCGTTGTTGTGTTTGTTTGAGCGCTCTCGAAGTTTGTTTAGTAGACCAGTTGCAGGCATGGCCGGTGCTTTCGTGTTAGTGGAGCCCTTTGTGTTGTGGTGCAACTAAAATTTTGTGTTCTGTGTAATTGCCGTTTGTTAAGTATGTTGCCTTTTGTCGTGCATCCTTTTTTAGATTAGAAACTATACATAATTGTACAAGTGTGCTGCTTCGGCGGCAGACGGGTGTGTGGGCACTTGGCGCTTAACCACACACATGTGGCCAACCTTGCATCTTCTATTGTATTGCCTTTATAATTTCTCTGTTTTATTGATGGTGGATGTCTTATGAATGGGACGAGGAGACAGTTTGGGGTTCTTTAACTTCTTTGACGTCACATGCACATTCTTATGCACAAGCTGTCTGTATGCAGGTAAAGAGGATGACGAGAGAACGGATGAAACAATGAGATTTAAAAAATCACTGTTATGGATGTTGGTTCGTGTTTTATGGCATTTTCACTACAAGAAAAACCCAATTCCAGAGAGAATTGTTCATGGAGAACGGATGAAACGATGAGAGCTTCTGAGAAGAATTCAAGATGGTTAAGGACTTAGGATAAAAGATTGAGCGCTTCGTCACAGAACAATGGGCGATTCCCTGGTTATATCTCAAGGGCCGCCAAGGAAAGGACGCTTTCCACTTGGCAATCATTGACGGTTGGGAAAATAGAGAGCCTCGGGTGGGCCTCGGACCTTTTATGAGGCCGAAACAAAACGATGGCCACATGTGGTCAACGACGGCCGTCTGCGGGCCCAGCCACCGAGTTAGGGAAAACTGCCACCTTTCCCCTATTTTCCCAACCGTCAAAGGTTACTAGTGGTTTAAAAATTAAAATCACTTTTTTTCGTTTTGGATTCTTCCAATTTGACTCGTACTGTTCTGCAAACAGTCCCCTTGCATCGCATCGAATAGACAAAGGCATTGCGCTGATTACTTTTGTGAATCTTGTGATCCTTATATTTGCTACTCATCAACTGTACCACCGTACATTGTGTGTGGTGAACCTTACTGAATGCGTCCCTTTTTGAGCCCATTCGTCTTGTCCCCGTGGAACGGTCAGTTCTCGATTTACATTATTTGGATCAAATTGGATGTTTACATTGTTTAGTCGATGATGATTTTTTCGACGATTTACGAGCTGTTGATGATTTTTCGATGGTTTGCATACTGTGACCGTGAAACGGTCAGTTCTACGATTTCTATTTCTCTGTTTACCATGGTTAGGTCGAGTTACATTGTCTGAGTCGTGGTCCGATCGCTGCGGTGACTGTTTTGCTGCGGCGACTGTTGTTTTCATTTTCGTTTTGTTTGCAAGCTCGAATTCGAACTTCGATGTTACGAATAAATGAAATCTAAAAGATTCTGAAAAGATTGTGAATGAACACATTTGCGTGTGGGGCTGGGGAAAACATGGATGGGCTGTTTTTGTTGCGGACGAACATATACATATATTGTATATAGCTCCTGTTATTATAGATTGTTCCAAGCTCTGCGGGTCAGTGAAGAAATTTGCGCCCCCGTCGATCGTCCGCAGCTGCTGGAATCAGCCAGAAGGGTCTATTTTCCAGGTTCGAAGCAAGGCATTTCCTATCGACGGCTCAAGGGTAAGTGTTGCTGTCCTTCAGAATAGACTCAGTACTAGTCAATAGAGTCCTGAGAATCACTCCTTTATTGAGACAACAGACACACACACTGCATGAGTCTTTTCATGTGTATAGTTGTACACTTTTTCTTTTATAGTTTTTTTTTGACTTTTTTTTCTTTTCTTTCCCCGGACCATTTCTCGATTGATGTGTCTCATCCTTGCGCAGGGGCCATGCGAATATTCTCTGTATCGTTCCAATTTTCACGGATGTCTCGCAGGACTCTTTTTTAACGTTTTCGACTTTTCAATGTATTTATAAAAAAGACAAAATGTAGCCCCTTATGGTCCCGGTACCATTCTATTCTGGGGTGTGCGTCACTTTGGTTCCTTTTCCCATCGGGCGAAGTCTCAGGAATTTCAGCCTTTCACAGTTTTACGGTTTTACCCTTTCTTCAGGTTATTGCATTTACGTTGACCCGTTCCAAGTCGTTTGACCGAAAACTGTTTGACTGATTTCAACTTTCAAGTTGTCTGACCAAAAAACTCGTCTGGCAGTAGAAAATCAGTCGTGTTACTCTTGTTTCGGTTCTGACTATCCAGGGAGTTGGGTGCTGAAGCCGTTTGAGGCAGTCAAAGTGACACGGCTAACACAGTGTACAGAAACACACGCACAGGTGGCACAGCTATTGTCTTCTCCCAAACAGTATGTGGGCGTTATGGGGTCATTAGATCTGCTGTATACAGGAGATTCCAGGGAGATTGAGGGAATTTCAGAGGATTAGAGGGGAAATTCCGGGAGATTTCAGGGCAAATTTTCCAGTCTGATACAGCTATCTGAACTCCATGCTGTGTTCGAATTTCTAGAGTACTCTGAATAATATTGTGCGACACGGAATGCCATAGATGATTTCTTGCAAATGGCGACTTGTATTGAAAATGTTTCCTGGAGGGTCTGATGGAAAATAAAAGTGAAAACAAAGAAGAAGAAAGAAGAGATAGATAGATAGATAGATAGATAGATAGATAGATAGATAGAGATAGAGATAGAGAGAGAGAGAGAGAGAGAGAGAGAGAGAGAGAGAGAGAGAGAGAGAGAGAGAAATGGTTTCATCTTGCTGGTCTGTTAACGGTGATATAATACTCGCTAAGTAGCTCTTCCTTGTCCTGTCTTTTGTGGTCTGCTTGGCTCTTCTATTCTATTACCAACAACCTGAGTTGTGGAACTTATGTTAAGTCACTATTACGGTATTAGCCGCTCTTCTCTTTCTGGTTGTCCGATCTTCTGGTTTGTTTGAGCTTTTCGAATTCAGTATGCAACATGTATGAATGATGTTTTGCCGAGTCGTCCTCTCCTAATTCTGTTCTTGAATTCCTCGATTGTCTTCTTCTTATTATTCTTCTTCTCTTTCTTTTTTTTTATTCTTTGTTTTTTCTTTTTGAACAGGTCCTAGTGGTCTTGGCTGCATAACGAGTACATAATACATATCCATTCTGGGGAATATCAGTTCTGTTGATGGCAAGTCACAGGAATACATCAAATGAACAGTACATGGGCGTCACGGGGTCCTTTTGGTCGAAGTGCCGCGAATCAGCATTGATTGCTCCAATCACATGGAGGACTGACTCTCAGCGTCAGCGTGCCTATCTGTCAGATTGACTCTGATGCAGCTGGCAGTTTGGCAAAGCTTAGTGCGCAGTGCGAGTCCAGCGGGCTCGGGTGTACTGGTGGTGTGAATTTTAGACTTTCTTAAATTTCTTGCATTTCTTGAATTTCGGATTTTCTAGACTTTCAGTCAGTTTCTTGAATTCTCTCGTATTTCTCGTATATCTCGAATTTCTTGCATGTATTTTTTGTCATCCTCCTTTCAGACAGAAGGATCAGAAGATTTTTGAACAATGACTGGGCAGATGATGTGCATTATGTTTTCCACATGCACTGCGTGCTTCCGTTGTTTTCCATTTCACTACAAGCAGAACAATGTTCCTCTGCATGTTTCGATTGCCTCAATGCTACATGGGGTGGATTTTGCAGGTGCCTGGTGGCGAGCCATTGCTTAGGCTAGTGGCTGTTGATTGGCTTAGGTCCAACTCCCGGATCGATCACGTTGCAAAACGTCCAGCCAACTTAGTTCAGGTGGGTGAAAAAAGAAAGAAAGAAAGAAAGAAAGGAAGAAAGAAAGAAAGCAAAGGTGCTCCTTCTACTCTTCTCCTTCAACGCTTTCTTATTTGCCGTATCCGCATTACCACTCGCACTCTTTTGGTTCGTCCGTTCCGATTATGGTTTTTCAAATCTTCGTATCTATTGAGAGAATTTGAGACCCCCCATCTGTGCTCCTCAGTTTGATCTTCTTCCCTGAGGAGAGTAATGAGAGAAGGAGAAGGGTTACGCATGAGCATTTGCTCATGCTCTTGACGCTCCATGTACACTCTGTAATTCCCCACATAAACTTTATGACGTGCGTTTATGACACCTTTGCAGTCGTCTCTTTTCTTCGATCTTCCCCGCAACTTCTTCCCCCTCCTTTTCACGTTCCTTGGATGCCCTTCCTTTAAAGCACCACTACTACCTGAGCCTCGTTTTCACATTGTGCAGTTCTCGACCATGGCCGCCGATGAGATTTGTCAATGGCGGCCGCCGTCGGGCCCAGCCCCCAAATTTTTAGGAGTAGGCTGTTTTCCCATTTTCCCAACAGCGGGAAAGGTAGTGGTGGCCTTCCATTCCAGGGAACAGCAGTCCAGTTCACCTTTGGAATCCTCCTTTGAAAAAAAAAATAAAAGGGAAAAAAAAAAAAAATCACCGGCAGGAGAAAGACCTTTAAGAACAGCAATACAACAAACATGTAAATGAAAAAAAAAACTTAAAAGCAAGCTACATTTAAATTGTCGTAGTAATTTATACAGTAAGTTCAGTAACTCGTATTGTTCGTTGGTTGGATCCACGCTTGGGATTTCTTCCGCTTCTCTGCACTTGATTTGTCTCCTCAGCTCCTGCCTTCCCCTCCTCTACTGCTTTCTCCCTCTCCTGTCTTCCCCTCTTGCTGCTTGGTCTGTCTCCCATCTTCCCCTCTTGCTGCTTTCTCCCTCATGTGACTCCTGTCACTTCCACTAAAAACCAAAATGAAACTTTCATTTTGTGGAGTGGATTTTTTACAGAAAGGAGCTTAGCCATATGTCAGATGAAGTCATTCCCTCTCCCGTCTTCCCCTCGTTCTGCTTTGTCCCTTTCCCGTCTCCCGCTCTTGCTGCTTGGTCTGTCTCCCATCTTCCCCTCTTGCTGCTTTCTCCCTCATGTGACTCCTGTCACTTCCACTAAAAACCAAAATGAAACTTTCATTTTGTGGAGTGGATTTTTTACAGAAAGGAGCTTAGCCATATGTCAGATGAAGTCATTCCCTCTCCCGTCTTCCCCTCGTTCTGCTTTGTCCCTTTCCCGTCTCCCGCTCTTGCTGCTTTGTCCCTTGCCCAGCTTCCCCTCTTGCTGCTTTCTCTCTCCCGTCTTTTCCTCTTGCTGCTTCCTCGCTCTCCCCTCGTCCTCTCCTGCTGCTTTCTTCCTCCCATCCTCCCCTCTTGCCGCTTTCTCCCTCTCCCACCTTCCCCTCTTGCTGCTTTCTTCCATTTCATTCAACCTTCCCTCCTGGCTGCTTTCTCCATCTCCGACCTTCCCCTTCCTGCTTTCTTCGTCTCCCAACTTTCCCGCTCGCTGCTTTCTCCCTCTCCCATCTTCCCTTCTTGCTGATTTCTCCCTCTCCGATCTTCCCCTCTTGCTGCTTTCTCCCTCTCCCCTCTTCCCCTCTTCCCCTCTTCCCCTCTTGCTGCTTTCTCCCCCCACAATACTCCCCTCTATCCGTAACAAGCATAGGTGACCAGAGAGCCATGGCCAACTGACACACAGGCAAACAAGGAAACCGGGCAGAGAAGTGAGAACCAGAATGAAAGACACCCTGGTTCTCACTCTGGTTCACGGTGGCTTGAACGGACACCGTGTACCATCAATCAGCACAGCAATGGTCTAACTTCCGCCCAGAAGGGGTTTCGACAGTGGGTTACCGTCTTCCCCCAAATAGAACGCACGGCGATTATAGACATGTTTGGGGCAATTTTCAGTCTAGATACAGCAAACACTACCATGCGTCTATTTGGGGGAAGAAGGTCAGGCCCAGTGCTGGTCCACACTGGTCCTGATAAGCTGGCAAGCCTGCATACTGATCTACTAGTGCAGTGGGGGAATGTTAATGTGGGAATCTCTCTCTCTCTCTCTCTCTCTCTCTCTCTCTCTCTCTCTCTCTCTCTCTCTCCTGTCTCTTATACACATCTAGATGTGTATAAGAGACAGGACTTGAGCTTAGCCATATGTCAGATGAAGTCATTCCCTCTCCCGTCTTCCCCTCGTTCTGCTTTGTCCCTTTCCCGTCTCCCGCTCTTGCTGCTTGGTCCCTCTCCCATCTTCCCCTCTTGCTGCTTTCTCCCTCTCCCCTCTTCCCCTCTTCCCCTCTTCCCCTCTTGCTGCTTTCTCCCCCCACAATACTCCCCTCTATCCGTAACAAGCATAGGTGACCAGAGAGCCATGGCCAACTGACACACAGGCAAACAAGGAAACCGGGCAGAGAAGTGAGAACCAGAATGAAAGACACCCTGGTTCTCACTCTGGTTCACGGTGGCTTGAACGGACACCGTGTACCATCTGTCTCTTATACACATCTAGATGTGTATAAGAGACAGGTGTGTGTGTGTGTGTGTGTGTGTGTGTGTGTGTGTGTGTGTGTGTGTATGTCTGTCTGTCTCACACACACACAGACAGACCCTGTTCCAGTTTTGTCTGTGACTTTTGGACAAGTCCTGATGAAATATGCTGTTGTGTGTCATCCATGTTACAGAAGCATTCAACAGAGACGAGTCCATTCATCTTCCTTGTGAACTTGCAGGTCAGGAACAACTATTTCTTGTCCAGGTTAGGTGCTTGTCTCTCTCCTTTGGTGAGCAAGTTCATGAGCCGTGTGCTGTGCCATTGGTCTTTTATCTGCATTCGTTTTGTGCTTGCTTTGTCTGCAATTTTTTCCAATTCATTTTTCAGCAAGTTTTGCAAGTCTAGGGAAGCGAAGTACATCGAAAGCTGAGCTGTCCTGAGTATAGGCATGTATTGATTGTTTCTATGAATGAGAATTGTAGGCTGGGCCTGGCTGGCCCCTTAGCCCAGTTAGGCGGTGAGGAGGTAGAATTGATGGAGTGTGCTCAACTGTATCACAAATGTGTGGAATGGCTACGAATTCCCACATGACACCTTCACGCCGTTCACGGTGTGCATTTCTGGAGGAGGCCTAGGCCCACAGAGTAAAGAGTTCAAAATTCAAATCCTATTGCAGTCGGATGATTCTTTCCAATCCTATAATGGTAGGGGGATAGGGGTGCAATGACTTGCTGGTTTCTGGTTGCCTGTAGCCTCTCTCTTGTCGAGGCTGTACCATTTGTAGGTCAGATTCGTAATTTTGTTTGGCTGAGGGCTAACCGAGAGACCTGCCTGTACGGAAATCCGGTAGGGACATATCTGCAAATTTGTGAAAATATATCACACCGCACAGGGAGAGATAAACACAGCGGAAGACTTGACCATGCAATATGCCAGGGTACAATGAAAGTGCAATTCACTCCACTCCATCCTCACAACCAGTCATAAAGGACAGCCGAGTAGATCACATCCAGGAAACAATGAAGCAATGATAGTCCAAAGTTCTCCAACCCAGTGTCAACACTGTTTATGCAACTCAGAGTCTCGAATTGTCAGAATAAATTCAGAACTATGATGCGCTGCTCAGAAATGAGCAGCGCTTCACTCCCCAGCCCTGATGAACCGCTATCACTACCCCTGAGTCCCTGAAACATCAAGCGCCACCCAGATACAGCCTCCAAGGGGACGCGCCACCCTGAAACAGGCCTCGGAGGCCAAGCGCCACTCAGAGGATGAAGAAGAAGACCAGCGCCACAGTATCTGATGATGACGAAGTGTCGGAAGACTTCCCGCGGCGCCACCACTCCTGACAAGATGCTCTCTGAGGAAGAAGCTGCAGCGCCACTACCATGGAACCCCACTCCGGAGGAGGGTCCAGCAGGGCACCAACTTCTCTCGCCTCCAGCAGACCTCAATAACCCAGATCTCTGTACAACCCCGCGTGCTGACAGAGTACAGCGCAGGTCCCAGCTATGGCCGGCGCTCTGAAGGTCTGGCTATTTCTGTCTCCTTCCACGCTGAGCCGTCACCACTTTCCGGTTCACGCGTAGCACAGCAGCGATGTACTCGGTACCAACTGCCAAAAGCCCTGAACCGATGTGCCCATCCTATCTATAGTCTAAACTAGCCTAGACTCGACCTAGACCGGACTGACTGACCGACCGGTACCGTTTTCTGTTTCGGCCTCTAGGGCCCCTCCCTACCCGGCTATAGGCTATAGGACTGTCTATCGATCTAGGCCCCTCGGGCCCTGTCTCTTATACACATCTAGATGTGTATAAGAGACAGGGCTTACAGGCAGGTCTCTCGGTTAGCCCTCAGCCAAACAAAATTACGAATCTGACCTACAAATGGTACAGCCTCGACAAGAGAGAGGCTACAGGCGACCAGCAACCAGCAAGTCATTGCAGGGGGATAGGGGGGGATACCTCCTTGCAGTTCTCTGTTTCCTCCTCCCTCCCCCCCCCCCCCCCCCCCCCCCCCCCCCCCCCCCCCCCCCCCCCCCCCCCCCCCCCCACTCCCCTCCCACCTTGTCTCTGGGCATCAAAAAAAGAAGGAAAGTGTTCAAACTTCAAAGCCAACAAACAAAGAAAAGTTATTACAATTAATACATATGTGGTCGGACTATCTCTGACGGGGCTCAAGTGTGTTTGTCAAGTGACGACAAGATTGATCAATCCGTTTGACTCACATATCATATGCCATGCCTTTTTGTTTTCCAAAAAATTCCATATGCGGTGCCTTGTTGGGTGCTCCACGTTAGATTATAATTTATAACCCGCAAGTTATATTCTTACTACTTATTACTATTATTAGTCTATCATAATGAGCTTCTCGACTTTCACGCGTTGTTTGACTTTGACTATATGTGATTTCAGTGAGTCCATTGGTTGACCTTCATCTTCATCCCCTTGGGAGCAAATTGATGCCCATTCCCCGTTGGAGGAAATTTCTGTGTACTGTCTACTATCTACTATCATCTACTGTCTACTATTTACTATCTATTGCTGTGTACTATACACTATCTACTATTGTCTACGATCTACTATCTACTACCTATTGTTGTGTACTATCTACTATCTACTATCTACTATCTACTAGCTACTAGCTACTAGCTACTACCTATCGCTCTGTACTATCTACCATCTAGTATCTAGTATCTAGTATCTAGTATCTAGTATCTAGTATCTAGTATCACGTTCTACTATCTGCTATCTACTATCTACTATCTACTATCTACTGTCTACTATCTACTATCTACTATCTACTATCTACTATCTACTAGACTACTACGGACATCATTAGGTTCCCTTTTGTTAGCTATACATCAGACATTGTCAGACCAAAAAATCACATTCCCTTCTGGGAGATTGCTATTGCTGCAATTCGATTTACAACGATTCTACATCCTTGATTCCTGGAAAGTATGGGAATTGGGTTCTGTTACTTGTGTAACTGATGTTGGTTTAATGTAGTTTATTGAACTTTTATTATTATAAGGGAGGAGGCATAGTGAGAGTGCTTTATTATTATATAAGGGTTGAGGCATGGTGAGAGTAAGAGTCTCCTTGCATAAGTTTTTAGCAGTTCATAGTACTTCATACTACTTCATACTACTTCATACTACTTCACACTACATACTACTTAATGTACTACTACAAACTTCATACTAAATCTTACTAAGTGCTAAATTTTGATAACGATTGACGCATTTTGTCTCAAGGATGAACAGAGTTTTTTTGTTCCCTTGACAATTTCGTTATGTTTGTGGTTTTGACTTCTTTGCTATTTTTTTTAGAAACACAGCTCCGATCTATTCGTGGTGAGCAACACGTGTTGGGAACCGGGCCCTGCATCCCTATAGAAAAAAAACTTTCGACAACCTGCAACATGCTTCCCCACATTACGGCCGGGGGAACCTTGATATAGCATCGACTGCTTCGTATAACGAAGGATTATACCCATACCTTAATGCAGACCCCTCCCTCTACCGATGTACCCCCGGAAAATGAAACATGCTGGAAACTTAAAAGCAGTCCACAAATAGCCAACATCATGGTACCTTACGCTGGCACGCTTCTTGCCCCCTCTCCCCGAGTGCCGACATCAGCACTAAACTGTGCTGCCCCCCGGGATACCAAGAGGGGTTTTGCGCCCAACCCCGGATTATTCATAGATCCCCCCCGGCCAAACAACCGGGTTTCTGCGCTCGCGTGGGCGCCACTCTCTGGGAGACACCACATGTCCACTGTACTCTGGACAAGGCCCTATCCAACTCTGTGATTAGGCAGACGCTATGCCAGCCCCTGCTGCCCCTATTACCCTGCTCCGGTTCAAACCAGGTTTTCTCCCATTGGCCCTCGGAATCACCCGACCTAGAGGAGTGGGTGCCACTCTGGGTGATCTGGAAAAGAAGGTTTGTGGTTTTGACTTGTTTCACGTTATGTTTGTGGTTTTGACTTGTTTCTGGTATACTGTGGTTGACATGACCAGGTGCCTGGAACTACTCACTATAGCCTCGTCTTCTACTGGGTTGCGGAATACCCGGTGCCTGAGAATTCGCTCTTCCACGTCTTCATGAATGAAGATGATACTTTCCGCAACAGTCGGTTCACTCTCATCCCTTCCATAGCTGAAGTAAGTCGCTTAAACTCTGAGCTCGAGACCGGCCGTTAACCGAAGGTGAACATCTAGAAGTGTTTTTTTTAACTCTGTGTTAGAGCCTGCGGCTGGCCATTAACACACAAAAGGGTTTCACAAATTCACAACTAACTACCTTCTTCACCCGAATACAACATACGGTCATTATAGCTGTATGTATTTGGGGTATCTTTCCATCTAAATACACCAGTAATGACCGCAAGTTGTAGTCGGGTGAAGAAGGTACTAGGTGTATTTTAGAGCCGGGCTGTTAACAACATGTTGCACGACTACCGACTTCACCCGAATAGAACACCCGGTCATTATAGCTGTATTTGGCCCAACTTTCGGTCCAGATGTAGCGATAATTACCAGGCGTTCTATTCGGGTGAAGACGGTGGGTGTTGGTGTTTGCTTAACTCTCTGTGTTTGAGCCCGGCTGTTAACCCAAAGGCGCAAAACTGGAAGTTTTTTGTTTGTGTTGGCCTGCTGGCAGTTCACCCAAATGTGCACCCCAAACTAGAACTTGTTTGCTTGACTCTGTGTTAGCCTGGCAGTTAACCCAAAGGTACAAAAAACTACCAGTCGTAGTAACTGGCAATAACAAACTACATTCTTATTCTAAGGCTCTCAGCTCAAATAGTGTGATTTTTTTGTAATTAAGGTGTGCAATAGAACAGTTGCAATGACGTCTACTCATTTCCCTGCGTGGGGTTCGGAAACTGCCCCTCTAGCCCCCCCCTGCAAAGTGCCTCATGCGGCAGGGATAACAGGCTGGTTCTCTTCATCTACTGCTACTTCTCCCTCCTCATCTTGAACTTTGTTTCATGCTTGATGGTAATAAGTAATCGGACTGTTGGCCCCCCAGAATAGATGGAGCCTCTTTTTTTCTATTAAAAAAAAAAAAAAACTGTTGCAATAAACCCGCTCTTGCAATGAGAAGCCCACAATGTCAGCAGCATGCATGTCTTCATCTCACACACACACACACACACACACACACACACACACACACACACACACACACACACACACACACACACACACACACACACAATGTGGTGGATCCAGATGGAAGCAGTGAGGTGACTTAGACGAAAGGAGAGAAGAAGTGGAGAAGATGAAGAGGGCTTTGAATAATAGTCAACGATTATAATGAACCGGCTCTTCCAAACCCCTTCTGATCCAGGTTCCCCCCACTCAATCTCGTCGTCTCGTCTCCTAACCTGCCACTGACGCGACCGATGAAGTCGCCCTGCAGCGGTTTCTCTTCTCAGGCGGTACACCACCTCCAGCACGAAGCTCAGCTATGGAGTCTGAAGAAGTGGAGAAGATGAAGAGAGCTTTACATAGTCAATGATTATAATGAGCCGTCTTTTCCAACCCCTCTTCTCATCCAGGTCTTCTCTCTCAATCTTGCCACCTGGTCTCTTAGCCTGCTACTGATGCAACCGATGAAGTCGCCCCTGCAGCAGGCTTGCTTCTCAGGCGGTACCGGCCTCCAGCACAAAGCTAAGCTATGGAGTCTGGTTCTCGGAACCGCCGGTCTCCAGGAAGTAAGGCGCTGTCTTAACATCCACCAGCAACACCAGGTAGGTCAGGTAAGCCTCCCTTCCCTCACTCTGTCACCTCACAGGTCTGATCGCCCTCATCCTGACTCTCTTCCTATGCTAAGCTATAGCCCACGGGCCCCCCTACTCTAGCTATGGCCGCTGGTGCTCACTCTCTTCCTCTCGCCAGCACTCCACTCCTGCTGCCTCCAGTGCTCTGTTGTAGCGTTGACTCAACCTGTGTCGGCCTCCTCTGGCCTCCTCCCTCGGACAGATGGGATCTCCCGATCTGTGCAGCCCAGATTTTCCGTCAACGTGTGTGTGCCTAGACCCAGTGAGTACTGGAGACTTCTGGAAACTGCACTCAGCCAGTGGGTGCATGTGTCAGATCGGTGGCCGTGGTTGATGTCTGAGAAATCTTTGACTCTTGGTCTACCGTGCCGGAGTTGCCCCTGACTGTTGTCTGCTACTGGCCTTGGTGTCCTCCCTAGGCTTTCTTTGATCCTAGACCCAGTACCTTTTGACCCTATGGCTTTCTAGCCGCCATTCTAGGGTGGCGGAGGCGACTTTTGACCCCTAAACACTGACGGTACCAGTTACGACCATGGCATGGACTACCGTCTTCACCTGAATAGAACACCCGGTCATTATAGCTGCGTTTGGGCCAACTTTCAGTCCAGACTCCAGAGGCAGCGATAATGACTGGGTGTTCTATTCGGGTGAACACGGTAGTTCTGTGCATCAGTGAATTGGTGCTGCTCTCCCTTTTTTTCTCCAAACTCCCATAGCTTCTCCAGGATGGAAATGGGTTTGACACCCTCAGACAATGTGTGTGTTCCAAGCAGGGCAGTCGTTCCCAGTATTCTATCATATCAACCAGAGTTTGAACTTTGAGCTCATAGCCTCATTTAGCAACGAATGAATTGGGCTGTTTGCAAGTATGTTTACCGGTGGGATCCAGTGTGTGCAATTCACCTAACAGCAGGTAGCAAGGGAGGGAGGGG